GCACCTAGCCTCATTTGGAAAGTGAGGGTTTTTGGAACTCAGATCTGGCCTATTGGCTTGGTAACCGGATATCAGATCAAAAGGCAACTTCTGATTAAACGATTTCAAGTTTTCGAGTGAATCAGTTCCTTCCCTGCTAGCAGAGGACTCGTTTTCCTGGTATTTGGCAGATGCCTGGCCAATTTCAGAGCACTTTTCCATGGCCGGGTTAGACAAAGTTGTGTGTTCAAGAAACCTCTTAGTCGGGGCTTTTCCCTAAGGAAAAATCCCAGAGATGAGGTTGCAACATCGGTTGTTACCTTGGTATTCAATCATTGAGTATCCTGCCATCAACATAACGCACGTGGGCACGCTCCAGAACAGTGCCAAGGCGTAATACACGTGCACACCGCTAATAAATCTCAGCACGTGCAAAAAAACGCCCAAAGCTACGTGCGGTGTCTTTCCAAATGCGAGATGCGTTGCTTGGTCTCTCCGCATTATGCCATACTGAAGAGAACCAGCAGCTAGAGAAAACAGTACCAGAAAGTACGGCAGTTTCTGTGGGACCAAAAAAACTGGTGAATCGTTAAATAATAAAGAAATCTCAGGGGTAAAAAGCTGTGGCGACTATGAACACAGACCATTTAGCTGAGACCGTTTTCTCAACCATATGCCACACAGTGGACCTTCGGACAAGACAGATACAAATTGCGACGGTAACATTCTATTTGTCCTCATTTTTGAATCTATTTCATTTTTATAGATTTAAAGAACACGTCTTAACGTATACGGTGTACTAACAGTGTCAACGTATATGGCTTAAGGTGGTAATAACATCTGCTCTTACTCCCAAGCTGGGGTAATTTGCTACGCTGGATTGTTTTGGGTGTATTCACGCCGATGTTCACAGCGATAAGGCTCAAGTATCATTCTACTTACAGATAATTCAAAGATCAATCAAAGCAGAAGCGGATCCTGATCAAAGTGATTTAGCAACAGGTTGGGGTCCTGAACGTCAGTTGACTGCGGGAAAGCGCGCCGAAAAGACTAAACACGACTTCCGGTGCCCAATTTGTCGCTCTGCCCAATCTCTGTGTGGGGGGCTTGGGGAGGCGGAATGTAGGTGGAACTCGCTGCAAGGATTTTATTCACGTCATTGTTTGTCTCAGTTTGGTCAGGGTAAGAGGTCGGCGGAGAGAGAAGTGTTCTTTTAAAAGGTATTTTCAATAAAGCTTGAAATACAAGTAACTCAATAGAGAGGGGAAGTCGTTACGTCACGTTGCCATGGTAGCAAAATTTCTGGGTGACAACAAATCAAAACGTCACTTAAAAAGTGGATTCTCACTGTTTCAGACTTCATCGATTTTATTCAATTTCATTTAATTTGTCAAATGTTGGCGAAATGTTCTTGGTTGAATCCGAAAGGACCGTATCTAAGCTTAGAAAAAGAAAAAGAAAATTTTTGTATTGTTCTTTTCCCAATCTAAACCTTTTGTTGCAATCCAGAAATTTTGCTACCATAGTAACGTGACGTCACACTTCTCTTCTCTATAGTACTCTGCAAACAGAAAAATAAGCAAGACAAACGAGTAGGCAATCACTCACCTCGGTTGTACCAGACATGTCTTGCAGTGCTCTTCTGTAGAGCTTGTCATTCTCCAGTTTACAGAGATTCTGCTCAAACCAAGGCATTGTGCGACGAATGGTAAACCATGTACCCAAACAGCACGTGATCCAAAGCAAGCCTCGCACACTCATCCACGGGTAGCCATACTTGACACGTGACTCGTACCCATCGTACATGAAGTTAATAGACATGCTCAATAACCATAGCAATAAGCCAGCGCGACCAAGCTTTCGGTAAGGACTGTTAAAATTGCCGATAAGAACAGTTAGAATGTGCATCGTGTTCATGATATCTCTATACTTAGGACGAGAATATCTTTTCGCTCTACCACGTCCCAGTTCTTCGAGTACTCGGCTGTCCATCGGCAGGAGCTCGGCGTTGGGGTCTGGAAGTACGCGCACCATTCGCGTTTTTCTCACGCTGTTTCCCATTTCACAGCTGTCAAAATAAGGGTACCGATGTGAAAAGTCCAGAAGAAGTTTATAGGTTTTGTTAGTTTATAGTGGTTTCACCGCTAAGCAAGTATGCCCCTTATGAATTCCCCCTCCCTAGTTTGATCGTGTTCGAGAAAGTATTTATATCATTAGACACACTTGGCGATGGATATTATCAAGAAGAATATATCATGCGAAGATTAATGATAATGACAATGATATTTTAAGAACGGGGAGCCCGCTTCGCTTACGAAAAGGTGGTGTTCAGTGAGGCCCTGAGATGCAGATCAAGATTTGGGGTGAAACCACTACCTTCCGTATGGCATTGATCGGTGCTGAGCGTCATTTTGCCGAAAATGCTGTTAACCCTATATAAGAATAATTTTTTGGGTGCAGTACCAGACCATTATATTATAAGACTGCATGTTTTAAGTCGTTCTCCGAATTCTTCCAGTCATTTCCAAAGTTTGTCAGTAATTATTATTGGTTGCCTCTTATAAAGCCAGGCAGGGACGCGACAGAGCCGTCCAGTGCGACTCGCTAAGGAATGTATCTGCTGATCCTGATCTACAACAAGATCCCGCTTTCCCTTTCTGCTGCTGTTTGCCCAAGTTGTCGTTGCGAGAATTGTTCGCTAATCTATCAAAAGAGCCCGACAAATTTTCCACTGATAAAATTTCTACAAGGGGAGAAGTGTCCCATTTATAAATTTGCTGAGAAAAAATCTGGAAATAAGTTTACAAAGGAAATTTTTTAAAAAGACAAGCACTAAGTCCGGATCGGAATCTGGTTTAATCATACGCGGCGTTAACGCAAACTCACTTCTGTGGCCTGGAATCCCTGCCGAAACTCGGCTACAGCTGGGTGACCTGGCAGAGCAATTTTTTTCGTGCAACTTAGAAAACTTATCCAACAACATACTGAAAAGGAAACAATCCCAGAGAACTCTTTTAGCTCTAATATCGAAAAATACTCGAATGCTTCAACCGCGAAAAGCTGTCTTGCGAAGCAACTTGAAGATACTAACATCAGCCTTCGCCCTCTCGCATCTTTTCATCTGTTTTTACCGTTCATTCGTGTGTTTACAAGCTAAATCAAAAGCGCTCGAGTGAGTGAAATGAAATCCCTTACCTGTATTTACATGCTAGACCCTTATAGCATTGTTTGAAGACGACAGATTGAAGTAAAGGTCATTTCAAACTTGCGACGAAATATGTTAGTACACAAAACAGCGCCGTATGCCTGTTCCTATGATAGTTTTGAAAGTTTAGCTTACTCTTTGACAAATAGCGGTACTTGTTTAAAGATTATGAATAAATATATGCTAACGTTTAGCAGCAAACGATCTGTTAATCTCAAAACAAAACAAAGAGAGAATGAAAAACAAAGCTTAATAAGGCTATCATGACACTCGGGGCTTGTCCTATTGAAAACGGAAGCCTTTGGGAGGATTAAGAATGTAATTGATGTAAAACGAAAATGTTTTCCGACAGGTTTTACAAAACAAAAGTACGTGATAATAAAAACCTATGGATGATAGAAAGACCATAACGATCAACAGTTTTTCTAAGGTCTGCCTGAGTTCCCCCAAATATCAGGGGCACCCAACGACAATTTTCGGAAAAATATCTGTTCGGAAGATGATTTGAGATCCAGAATTTTCGGAACATTTGTTGTAAAATTTCTTGCTTGCCTGCCTCTCCTAGGATTTTCGAACATCTAAAAAATGGTATAATTGCCTATTTTTAATGGATTTTTATCCTAAAAAGGTCACCAAGAATTTTCGGAAGCCTTTTTTCTGGCTGAAATTTTCGAAAAGGTAAGTTTTGATCGCTATAATTTTCGGATCACTAGACTTTCGGCTAGGAAATCCGAACAGATGAAAAATTGTTAGGGGATAAAGATATGCCTTTATCTACTGTTTAAATACTAAAATACGTTTAACAATGCTATGTTTAAGTGGTTTTGAACTATACTCTCGTTGGGTGCCCCTGAAATATCCACATTTAGCGGGTAACTAAAATTGCACGGCAAACAGTTTTGCGTATCATTCTATGGATATGATTTTTGCACAAACTGCACACTAAAAGCCCGAAAAGAAAATGGAAAAGTTTACCTACTAAAGCAATTCTGAGCCACAAGCCCGAGACTCATAAAAGCAGTCTGATCTGTAAATCAATTAAAATCTGCAACTTCCTTGTTTAATTATTAAGGGACGTACTAGCAGAGCGTGAAACTAGACATAACACAAAGAAAAAGTGTGTTGTGGATTAGTTTATGTTGTGTTTTTTATCTCTCTGTCGCCAGTAACTACAAGCAAGCTGTTAAAAGGGAGAAAATTTCTCTGAAAACATTTGTTTTGGAGTTATCCTGGTTACTCGACTTATTCTAATTTCCACTTTTGTTTTCCATCAAAAAAATGAATAATAAAAACATGTTTAATATTTTGAAGACGGGACACTCGTGACAAAAGCGACCTGATGTATTATGCAAACGTCATCCGTATTAGCCTCGTTCCCGTTGGTCTTCGACGAGTTCTGGTGACCAAGGGTGCTATCCAGGTGTATTTGTGAGGTTGTAGAATGGGACTGAGTATGAAATTTTAGTCCAGACGTAGTTAATCGATAAAAATCGATATCGGAAATCAATCGATTCCGCCGATTAATATCGATTGATATCGGAATTCGATAGAAATCAAAGTCCCAGAAAAAATAATTTATCGATTATTATCGATTAAAAAATCGGTAACAATCGAAAATCATTATCATTATCGATTTCTAACGGAAAATCATCGATATGAATCGAAGTCACAGCTTTTTTCTTTATCGATTTCTATCGATCGATACCGGAAATCGATATTTATCGATGATTGACATGGATTACTATCGATTAAAAGCGATTATCGGCTTATAGATTAATCACGTCTGGTTTTAGTTCAACCTAAATAGAGAGACAAACTTTTACCCATCAATGATTAAAGAAACATGCAAAAACGCTATGACGGCTATCCTAGCTGATTTATGGGCAGATTGAGGATCTTAGCAAGGATCACCTCAAGACGATGGTCAATGGCGCGGCTTTCTTCATGTCGCGCTAAGATTATTGTAAGAGTTTATACTGTTACATAATAGAAAAATAGATAATCTGCAACGATAAGTTCAGATCTGTGCCGCACGCTTGTGGTTTTCGGGAATAAGAAGATCCGACCATCTAACTCCTGTCATGAAAGACTTGCACTGACGTGCCTTTGATGTTCGCATTGATTTTAAAATACTACTTTTAACATAAAAATTTAAAATGACTTCTAGGTCCTTACTATTTGTCGCCACTCCGTGTCAAATACCAACCGGCTCGTTTGCTCCGCTCATCTGATGGACTGCTTTTAGAAGTTCCTTCTGTTAATACCGTGACTAAATAATAAACACCACTCTTTTTCGCATTATGCACCGAAAATCTTGAACAGTTTACCTGATGATATCATAGTTAATTGAGATGATATCAAATACTCTGAATCTGTTTCCACATTTGACAAAACCTTTTTAAAATTTTTCTTTTTAGAAATAATTTTTGTACACAGTTCATTTAGATTCAATTTACCGGCGAAAGATCATTGAGACTTTGTTTAAATGCGCCATAAAAACCTTATTAAGATTTTCATTGTTGTTACTATTACTTTTGCTAAAAGCTGCAAGTTTTCTTTCGATACCGGATTGGTAAAAAGCGTGTAAGAAATAAAGACAGGTCGAAAAGCTATTCAAAAAGAGTAGGGTTAATGAGATTAACGAACTTGGTGACAACTAACACCAAAATATTATATTTTCGCGATTGACCGCTATTGGCTACCGTGTGTGACGTCAACGTCATCCCCAGGGTCTTCTCGTTTTCCAATATGGTGGCGGCAGGAAAGAAGAAGACGAAAACGAGAAGACCCTGGAGACGAGGTTGGTGTGGCACTTTTCGTACGGGCAGCTATAGTAAAAGGCTAGGTTATCAAGATTGAAAAAAAGCAGTCTACCGACATTAGTATATAGGAATCTTAACGACATCTGCATATGTTTGAAGTTAAGAATAACCAAGACTATAGTGTTTTGACATGACGTCATGGTCACGTCCAAGACCAGAAGAAACGTCAAAGGGCTGGGGACATGAATTGTAACTAAGAAACACTGCGCATGCTCATGAAGATCCGAAAGTGTTCTTTACGACCCGTTCTTTCTTCTCGTAGTAGGCATCGTATCTCATCCACACATCCTTATTCTACCCTGTTCTATTTTGGTATCCTGGGAGCAGAGGTTGTTTTGTTGGCATGGCTTTTAGCATTTACCAATTCGTTCCAGTTGCTTCTCAGTCGCGTAGTTGGTTAACTATGCGACTAACAAGCGACGCGAACAACTTTGTAAATGCCAAAACCATGCCAGAAAAAAATCTCAACGCGCAAGGTATGTTTTGGCGGACATCGAGTAAGATAAAACAAAACAAGGGACTTTCTATTAATTTATTAAGTCTTAAGACTAGTGATTCATTGTAGTTCTGGCGAACCAGATTTGACAAGAGTGAATTCCTCGACAGGCACAACTGATCATCAGACCCGCTGAAATGATACAAGGTTACATGTATGTAGAAATGAAACGAAACTCCTTATAGATTTCGGGCATTGAAACTCATCCTTGAAAGCAATGAGCAATAATTTCACAAAATTACCAATCATTAGCTAACGATAGATTTCAAGACACTACAGCTTAAGACCGGACTTCTGTATTTGATTTTGTTTTTCGTTTCATGTAAGGGCATTCAGATTCGGAATCCAGGAAATTTTTGCCAGTGGAATCTGGAATCCTGGACTTTGGAATCCGGAATCTAGCTCAAGGAATCCGGAATCCCACTAACCATTGAAATCCGGAATCCAAATTCCAGTGACAAAGAATCCTGAATCCAGTACGTGAACGATTGTTTTTCTTTAAATTAAATTTTCCCGCGTCATTCGTCCAACGAAAGCGTTCAACATAGGATGTTATCCACGCTTAAAGCAAGCGCAACCCACATGTGGGCACGAGGAAGTCAGTGACCTTGCTTCTTATTGTGAGAGGCGAATTTGTGTTTCCAGTATCTAGCGGTGACGCATTGGTAATTGTTATTTGCAAAGTACCCAGATACGGCCAGTAAAACTCAGTTTTCACAACCTGGGAACAGACAAATGTTCCCTGCTGTAATTTAACCCTCCGCTGCACACTGATTTACCAAAAGCAAGGAAAAGCGATCCTTGTCCCAGAGTTACTCTTTGAAGCCATTCACTGTAGTTTTATTCCTCGGGTAACGTTGACGACCATCATACCAATGACCTTTTTCTTTTCCTCGCGAGCTGAAAGATTTGTCGTTGTGTCGCCATTCGAACCTGCTCAAATAACTTTGTTCTGGACGACGCCATCTTGGAATGAAATTAAGCCCACTACATGACTAATGGTCTATCCAGAAATCAGCTCCGATAGGAAAATTGGTCGCGCTTTGCTTCGCACAAGAGCTTTCTTAAAACAGAAACAAGGCGGAGGAACAAACAGTTTTTGCGAACATTTGCCAACGTCGTCACAAGCAGCCAATTTTCTGTTTGGTGGCAAAAAAATCGCCAGGTATACGGACGTTCTGAGGTCGCCTTAATAAAAACAAAAATTTCAAAATAAATCAACCTTTCTTTGATTTATTATCTTGAGTTCTTTTGAGTACAGAGTCTCTGTTTTTCTGAGTCGTCGTATTCGAAGCAGTTGTTTCGCCAGGAAGTTCGGTGCTGTGCCATTCGATTTTCTGCTTATGTTGCCTAACAGCCTCTTGAACTCTTTCATCCATCATTTCTTCGGTAAGAACGCCATCGGGGGAGCCGTACGCACTAGCCTGGAATTAAAGAACAATCAACAGTCAAAAAGCCTGAGCTTGTCTACTCTGAGACAACCCAACAGGCGGCAAGGCGAGAGAAACGTCTGAACAGCCCACATTCGATATATTAAAAGTCTAACATGACTCCAAGGCTTTAGGGACAAAACTGGCAATTTTTTAAGACTCCACTGTCTCGCAATTCCTAGAAGAGACTTAAGCACAAAGAAAACCAAACCAAATATAGAAACATGACCAGAAAGCTTGAGATGTCATGTTAGAATTTTGATTTATCGAATGTGAGCTATTCACAGAGTTATAATACCGTCCTGTGACATCACAGACTAATTCATGTAATCATGCATAAATATCTAGTTGGCGGCCATGAGTGTGCCTTTTAGTCTTGCAGCCTTTCCGCGTGGGGCGAAGAGACGGATGACATTTCAGACTAGAGCTTGTTCGCCACGGTCAACACTTATTTCCATCCACCAAACTGACGTTGACAGATTAATGATTCGTACACAAAGTAAGGGTTAGCGTTAAGGGTTAAGGGTTAGGGTTAGGGTTGTTGCTATATATACTCAAATCAAACCACTTATTGTCAGCAAATTCTCGGTAGTGTAGGGGTTAAAGTGATGCACTGCAGAGCCGATGCTCCGAGATCGAATCCTACTCGTGCCGTCCTGAATTTTTTTTCCTTAAAAATTGAAGAGAATTAGACTTTTATGAACAGAAATTTCAAGAGACAGAGAAATTTCATGTAAAAAATGCCTTGTGAGAGCCACTGAGAGGAAAATGTCAGTTTGGCGGATGGAAACAAGTGACGACCAAAGGGAACTGGAGCCGAAATGCGTCCCGCAATTGTTTCTGGGATCGTTAATGGGCATGCGCCGTTCAGCTATTGGCCATTTTTCTTTTCGTTGTCCCTAGCAAAAGTCCCAATTGGCGCTCGAAAGTTTTGGTTTTCCTCGTTACCTTTCTCGTTTCGAGACGTCTCTTTAGTTCGTGTTCAGATTTAACTCACCTGCCAGGCAATTGCTATTTTGGAAATTTCTCTCCCTGAAAGTCCCTCAGTCACTTCGGCTATTTGACGACATTTCACATTGAAGTCAAAGTTTGCGATCTTCAACCGACTGAAACGCGAAAATAAAACGTCAAATACTGAACAAAGTGAATGTTCCTAAGGAATGTTTCCTAAGGAAACAATGTAGAGTTAGCTTCATCTTCGATTAAGACTCGAACAATGGCACCAAAAATTATGTTACACAAAATCATGTTGGTAATGGTTTTGGAATTAAATAACAATGACAGTAAACTGTTTTTTAAGCAAGCACTGTTAGAAATTGATCCTCTTCCTACACGGGTGGCTTCAATACTTGAACCTCGAAGGTAAATTTAGTTCGCGGGCGGCCGCAAAAACGCGCGGGGTGACTCCCATACAAAAGCGACAAGCTCGCAGATTTTGGTCTCACTTAGGGTGTTTGAGATGGAAAGATTCTATATTTGCCCATTCAGGTATCGCTTAGCACCGTGCATAAAGAAATTTACAAAAAAAGCGCGACACTGACCACACAGGAATCTCATTTGGGAGTCAGTTTAAGCTTGAACGACACCCACATTGGTCTCCCTCCCTTCCGACGAGCATTCCTATCACTTCAATATCGGAAGCGCCCCCAGGTAAAAACAGCCTTCCTGGCGTTGAAAATTTGGTGCAAGGCAAAAGACGAGAGAAAATGAGGAAAATGACGTTTAGAATGCTACACGTCTTGCACTGTGTAGTGCTAGTAACCTTCGCGCGAGAGAAAAAAGAAAGAGAACCACTGTTCAAGCAGACTCTCAAGGTCACGTTTCACATTATCACGAGCTTATGAGTCGTGTTTGGCCTGTCAACGCTTATTTCTCTCAAGGTCACGTTTCACATTTTGCTACTCGTGTTTGCCTGAGCGAGATGATTAAACTTACCCAGCCCGAGATCCTGTGGTGGCCGGCTTTAAAACGTGTTCTTCAAAATACTGACGGACAAGCCTCACTCTTTCTTCGAGGGATGGCAAATCAAACTCGACCATCTCGTCCAACCTGTCATTGATCGCCCAGTCGAACTGGTCTGGCTGATTACTGGCAAGGACCAACATAAACCTGAGTATGCGAAAAGAAGCTCATCCGTTAAATATGAAGCGAATTCTCAAAGGGCACTTCAATCCCGTAATCCCGAGGGTTATTGCAGCATCCCTCATCTCCCGAATAGTAGGGAGCTTAAGGTGATGTTACACGAGACGATTCGCAACGATGATTTTTAGCGCAACACAGCGTTGCAACATTGTTGCGGCATTGTTTCGAATGGTTACAACATTGTTCCAACATTGCAGCGCTGTGTTGTGCATAAAAACCGTCGTTGCGAATCGTTCCGTTTAACATCACCTTTAAGCAACGACGACGGCAACGTCAACGAAAACGGCAAAACCGCAATAACTTTGCACGTGCATCACGCTTTTTTGTACATTTCTTTGCCGTCACTGCACGATTACGACGAGAAAATGCCTAATTTCACGTTTTGTAAAAGACGTGGACACAAGACAACAACTTTCTTTTTTTTCTCCTGAACTTTGATACAGTCTTTTAGAATTCAACTTCACAAAAAATTGCCAACATTCGACGTATTGAACAAGATGGAATAAGCGCGATAAAGTTTGAAGCGGTGCGAATTCACTTTTTAAGCGACGTTTTTGTAGCCGTCGCCGTCGTTGCTGCTTAAACTTCCTCCTTTCAATCCCGAATCGCGCGCCATTTCTCATTAAAATCCCGAATCCCGCCCTTTAAAGAGGGCAAATCCCACATCCTGAACAATCTATTGCGGACCCGCCTCAAATATTAGCGATTGAGGTTACTTACAAATATTTCTCAGAGATATCCACAAGCCAAACTGACATCTTGCAGGGGGACTTAACTGATTGGAGAGTTTTCGACAAATAACATTTTCTTGACAGTAGCTTAACTCTCTTTATCGTCAACAACTCTCTGAAGGCGAGACATGGCGTTAAATTCCGAGGGTGCCCCGCCAAACTGTTAGGAAACGGTTTCTAGTTATGTCCAGAACAGAAATTCACGCTTTGCTCTAAGACTTTTTTTTAAAAAAAAAGTTGCACCACTTTTTTAACCAATCAGCTAACGCAACCTAACTTTAACTAAAGCCTCTCAACCCCCGTTTGGCACACGATTCGTCTATATTGTAGCCTGCAGTGCAGGCGTTTTCTTTGAGCGCGAAATTTGCTCGCGAAAGTGCCATGTTGAAACTTCCCGAAGAGAGGAAGAGATGGGGTGAGTCAAAGGGAGCGGGGAGGGGGCGGGGAGAGAGAAGTATTTTTTTTCTCCCCTCCCCCTCCCCCTCCCCCCTTTCCTTCTTTCGCCCTCGCACCTACCGTAAGGGTTACTATTTCTACTCTCCCCAATCTTCCACTGTCATAAAATCAAAGATGGCGGCTACAACAATATTACGAATACAAACAAGGTTTCGCCCACCCAAAATACGCCTGCACTGCAGGCTATCTATATTGATTTGGAGGATCTAATTGACCACTACAGAAAATGCCATTACATACCATAATGCTCTATGTTTGTCACCCCAAAATTTTGCATAAGCATTGCTTTCTTTTTCTCTTGGGGCCATTTTAACTCCAAAGAGAAACTGAAGACAATGGTTATGCAAAATTTTGGGGTGACAAACTAAGAGCATTATGGTCTGTTATGGTATTTTCTGTAGAGGAATTAGTGGTCAATTGGCTCGCAACCTCGTTCCCAGGGCTTTTTGGCTCGCGTTTTTATCCGAAGGCGGTAACTTTGTTTATACAGCCTCTTTTTATCAGTATATGAAAGGACAAGAAACCATACTTGCGAGAAGATTCTCCAGTTCTGTAGAGGAAAGCATTGAGAGTACTCCGAAGATCTTCACTCATTTTCTCCTAAAGGTTGAGATAAAAACCTTCTAGTAAATATCATCCACCAAATTCAAAAACAAAATAAAATGCACTTGTTCCCTTTTTTTACCTGATTACGTTTCCGCAAGAATGCGTCTGCTTCATCTACAAACAGTAATAACCTAAACACAACAGAAGAAAAACAGCGGTCGTAAAATCAGTGAAGTTACTCGCGAAGGGAGAAAATCTTGACGAATTTGTTAGCATTGTGGTGGCGTGATACTGGATACCTGGCGCATGCACTATTCCAAATCTGGACTATATATTACAACAGTACATTTCTTACCCCCGTCTTGAGGTCTCGGCCCAGTCAAACACTTTATGCATGGCTGTCACGCCCTCTTTTCCCATGGGAACAATGTCACCTCCCGTCATGATACCATAGTCCATACCAGAATGCTTGGCGAGGCTCTACAACAAAAAAGACGTGGAGCAATTTAATTGTGGATCAGAGAGAAAGTAGCTCATTGGGTTCTTCACCAGTTAAGAAACTCTTCGGATCTTATCCACTACTGTGCAAATTCTTCTCAACTATGATTTATTCGCAAATTTTTTATTTCACAAAAGATAGAAGTCTGATAAGCTGGTTTAAGATCAAAGCGTTCCCCTTTGGTAATCAATTTAGTAATTCTCATAACCTTTACTCTTAATGATATGCTGATGTTGTTAGGAGAAAATTGATGTTGATGATGTACTAACCAGGGTTAGATTACATTCTGCGATGCAGGGTATTGCTACACATGTTGTTGCACACTTTAACAAAGTTAAGCTTACCTCCCACATTCTAATATAACATTTTTTTCACCTTTACCTTTGCAAACATAGTTTTGCCCGTCCCAGGAGGCCCATAAAACAGTAAATTTCTGTAAAGCCCTTTGTTCTTCTTTGTATTTGCTGTTGCTTTGCTAACTTCTTGGAGTCTTGTTTCAAGGGAAGGCTACAAATTAAATCAACATGCATGAGAAACATTTCTACAATAGGTTCAAAGAAATAGGTTCATACAGTGACTCTGGGATACAGTGGAGCCCCCACGTGTGACCGCCTTTCGTATGTGACCACCAATCTAAAACACCTTTTTTTCCCAGTCAAATACTTATAATCAGTAAAAGTGCACCCAGGTTTTAATAAAGAAAAAATACTTACTTTCAAAATTATTCCTTGTAGTGAGTCTTCATAGTTAACGAACATCTTCCTAAAAGTCTAAAGAAAAAAAAAACAGAAGACAAGGATGCTTACTTAATAAGAGCTACAGCTAGAGGTAAAAGGAAGCTTAACAGTCATGTAACTCAATAATAAATAACATAAGATAACATTCCAGGCATCTTTACAAATGTACACAAATGTACCTGTACAGGGTGTCTTACAGTACCAAAGACACTTAATCTTGAGGTGTCGCGGACAAGACTTGGTTTTCCCAGACGTGCTTCAATATATCTACAATGCAAACAGAAACTTGTCTTATTCTAACACGGTTTCCGTCCTCTTGAGTATTGTATTTGTTCTTTGTGCAGGCTAACTTATTGAACATTAGCTGGTAATTTGAGCATAGACTCAATCACCTATTGTAAGGATGTGAAAAGTTACCCATATATAAGCCTGACACCTTACATATGGTGTTACAGGGGCTAAGTCCACAAATTTAGGCAATTTCAGCCCTTGATCAAAGTTTTCAAACAAAATAATATTGTGAAACATCATATTCAAACACAACCACAGGAAAGCCAAATTAATAGGAATGTGTAATTTAAAAATTTCCTACATGTAGAAACAATCAGTCAATAAGCTTTAATGTTAAAAAAAATACACAATGGCAGAAAACCTGAAGGTAAATAACTATCACGCTATCCCAGTTGGGTTTAAGAAAAAGAGGGAAAATAATTTACACAAAACAATCAATTCTAGAATTCCTAGACACAATCCAATGTCATGTATTATAGTGTGTGATAAAATTGTTTATTGCCAGAGACAAAACAAAAACAAATTAATGACCAAACTAACCTTGCACCTACTCCAGTACCATATTTAGCTGTATAAACTCCTAAAGCAAGGAGTGTTAAACCAGCAGCCTGAGAGAGGAAATAAAACAAGATCAGAGTTGGCAATTGAGAAAAAGGATGAAATCCTGTGGTTTGACCATTGAATTGAAACCTTTTCGGGTGTGTTTTTCCATTGGTTTATTCATTTTAACGTATTTACAAAACGAAGTTTGTGATTTGGCGGACTCGAGAGACTATCATACATAATTTTTGTAACGGTTAATATGATGTTCACAACGACTCATCTGAATACATTTACCGGTACATGTACAAGGTGCAATTACACACAAAGTTTTCATATCAAATTGCGTAATTTTCTGAGTCATACGTATTTCTTTTACAATGTGAGAGTTAGAAAGAAAGGCAATTTTTGAGTAAGGAATACAATGCATTTCTGGTGAAAAAAAAATTCTGTTGCTTGAGACTGGGGGGCATTATATTTAGTGGAATTTATAACTTACTGTGGCTGAAATTTTATCCCAGTCTGAGATGAAAGCATTGAACCCTGCTCCCAGTATGCTTCCAGCTGTCCTGGAGAAATTAAGGAAAAAAGAGATAAGATAAACTCCACAATTAGGCAAACAGTGGGCAAGAAGAGAAGACAGGAGAGGATAGGCTTGGAGAAAGGGTATAACTGTAGGTATTAGAAACAATATATTTTGGAAGAAGAAGAATTCTAAGACCAGAAAGCTGAGAAAAAATTTCGAGCTCCAGGTGAGAACTGAACTCAGACCCTTCAAGTTCTAGTTCGGTTGCTCTAACCACTCAGTTACTGGAGGGCTCTAAGGTGAGCACGGTCGAAATTTAATTATAACTATACCAGTCATAGAGGACTGTATCAGGGACTTGGTTGAAATCAGCAGAGATAAGAGGGGGGCTGGAGCTGGCTTGGTTTAGAGGGGTACAAAATAACGTACTCATTCACTGAAGGGCGGGGCTGGAGAAAAGGTGCAGAAGTAACACTGTTAACAAGCCAAGAGGAGAGTTGTTGGAGGCTTGAAGAAACTGGCTTCATGATCAGAGCATAGGAGACAAGGAGATGAAAAATAATAATGTTCAAAAAGAAAAGCTGAAACGGGAGAAAAGAATACTATAACACTATGTAGTAAGAATGGGGGAAAACTGGGCAAATTAAGGAAACACGTAAAAGGAATTGAAAGCACAACTAACTTGATTGACTGTAGGACAGTTTCTCTTTGTTCTGCAGCCTTCACTCTAATCTTTTCCAGCCTAATGTCCTTGTTTTCTCGCTCTATCTGGGCTCTGTAAAAAAGGGTAATGAAATTGCAGTGTTTGCACACTTCTGTAGAAAAATATTATTAAGGATAAGGGATTCAAATGTACATTAAAAAGGTTAATATACATATGTACTGTATGTTGTGGTTCAATTTTATCCTTGGTTTAAATTTTATTTTCTTTTGTTTCAAACTCATTGTCAAACATTACCACACCCAAAAACAAAAGAAAATAAAATTCAAACCAGGGATCAAACATTACGTGTAATAAAAGTGGCTAAAAGCCGTTAAACAGTGCTCAATACACAAAACTTTGAAAAGAAAATAAAAAATTCAAATCAGACAGAATTTAATCTTAGTATTAAATACTGTCTGATGAGTGCGTGAGCACGAAACTCGGAGTAACAGAGAATTTTGTCTCTTCGTTATATCTTCTTATAACAAAAAAAAAAAACAATCTGAAAGAAGGAGGAATCTAACACCAGAAAGCTCACAAAAAATTCGGGGCTCCACGTGAGGATCAAACTCATGACCCTCCGAGTTCTAGTTTGGATGCTCTAACCAATAATCTACTGGAGGCTCTATGGCCAGCAGGGTCGAAATTAAATCATTTATAACACAAGCCATATATAGAGGACTATCAGGGACTTGCTTGAAATTGGCTGTTTATATTGTACAATATAATTTGGTAGGAGAAATTTAACACCAAAAAGCACAGTTTAATAATTATTATAATTTAATATACCACCCACTGAGGATGAATGATGTGATCCTAGCTGTACTATGAACAAAATATCTCTTACTTTCCCCTTAGTTCAGCTTCCAGCCTTTTCATTTCATTTTTATGCTGTAGCTCAGCTTGATACTCTATTGTTCCTGAGAATACAATAATAAGAAATAATGAATTTCTTGGCCCTACAATGCAGTAAAACATAAAGGCTTTCTGCACTAAGAATGATGGAAACTTGACATTTTCCACCAATGAGACCAAAAATAGTCAGCACTTATAACTGTGTCCTGTTATTATTTTAATTTATTTGACTGGTTCCCCAAGTGCCGGGCAAGATGAACCCCAATCCTGTGGTCTGATTGGCTATTTATACATGAGAAGGTAAGATGGCCGTATATTGGCCACTTGGGATTTCCTTGCTCTGGTCCTACATACAAGGAAAATGTTCTGTTGGCTATAATAAATCCTTTATTAACCAAGCTTATCTTGTCAAGATGATATGATTGAGTATGAATTTATTGGCTTCCTTCTTTTTTGCATTCATATCGACCTTGAATTTGTCTTGATCCATAAAGCAAAGAAAAAAAAGACTTTGGCCAATATTCAGCCACACATCTTGACCTCACACATGGTAGATAATGCATATCTATTTAAGATGCTCTTTGGTGAGGGTATAACATCTCACTGAAAAGGTGTTGTGGGATGAGCCCTGGCGAGACTATCAACCAAGCTCTTAACAAAACTGGTTATTTCACACAAGCTGGAATTTAAACGTCTCAAAAAACCTGTAGCCTGAAGAATTAAGCAGACACCTCTATATAAACTAAAGAATAGCAAGGATCCTATGAACCTCTGCCTTAACCCTTTAAGCCCTAAGAGTGATCAGCATCAAATTTCTCCTTGTAATATCAATGCTTTGTAAAACAGAGTGGTTATGAGAATTACGGACATGATCACACAAGATGAACTTGCTTGATATTTCATCAACTTCTCCCCACTACTTCTGCAGGAAATGAATGGGGGCAACAAGTGAGAATTCACATTTTGATCTTAGGGTTTAAAGGGTTAAACAAGTTTCCTTGCTAAGCTGTTAGTTCTTTTATTCATTGTACCTCGTTTCATAGCTTCTTGTTTCCTAACTGACTCCTCTTGCTTAGCCAAATTATCTTCATTCATATGTCGCTATTAGAGAAGGAGTCGGAGACAAACAATCAAAGACAAGCCATTACTCATTCATGGTGCCAAATAATTGGCAATGTCAGCGTGCAAAGAAAGTCGTGTCTGATAGCCCGGGGCTAGTGGATTTTGGTTTCGGGCTAGTGAATTCTGTTCTTAACTTGCCCAACAGGCAAGTGAATTTTTTTGGGAAATTCAAATTACAGACGGATTGTAATCAATCGTGCTAATCAAAAAGGGTTTTGGGGCCAGTTGAAATGACTCGTGGGCTAGTACATGCTAGCTACAGCTTGCCCAAATGGCAGCCTGTAAAACTGACTTTCTTTGCACCCTTTAATGTAAACTAAATTTTTGAACTTACACTTACAGTAAATTATTTTTAACCCTAACCTCTAACCCTTACCCTAGCCCTTTAAATTAAGCTCTACGTTTGGTTTTAAATTAGCACGAATGTTGTCAGCTTAATTGCATTAATCATGTTTAGAAGTATTGGCGACGGTGAATCACATGGTTTTACCTGTTGTGTAAGTTGATCATCGTAGCGCTTCCTGGCTAACTGATCCTGGTATTGTGCTCGCTGGTAACATCAACAACAATATTCAAGTAATAATTAATAACTTTGAGTTTAGAGTGTTACGGATAACAGCTGTCAATGGCTATTACCACCCAGGGCTGTGCTCTAGCAGAGCCCGGTGGCCCCCGGCGCCTAACTTTTGCCCTCAGGCAACAAGAAAGTCTCAGATTTTTCATACAAATCATATGCCGGACACCCTATATTTTACAGTCTCAGAGCACTGAGCTCCCTTCAATTTTCCTTAGAGCAGAGCTTTGACCAAGCAATATATGTTGCTTTGTTTATGGTTGGCAGTATGGCCAAGTGGTTGGCATGGCATCAGACTTGCTATCAACCTCAAATATTGTAAATAGCTAACTGGTTAACCTAAATTTCCAATAGGGACTTTGGAGTGCCTGTAAAGCAGCTACACAGTACTAGAGTAGCAACAGGGTTTCATGGAACAACGGAAAGTTGCCCAGTTATCATATAAATTAAAAGGTGACCCTATCTTTAAAATCCAGTAATTTTAGAGGGGTTCAGTTAGGAGGGCCAGTAAGGGTAACATTTTGTCTAAAATCGCAGCAAGAACACTTACCCGATAGACAAACGAGTTCAGTAAAAGGAGGGCGGAAAGGGCATGGGGTCTCGCATCAAGTTCACGAACAACAATTTTGCATTTCGCTAGTCAGGAAACAAATAGTGTAATTAATGAACTTCGATTTTGGCCAAGTGTTCGGGTGATCTATGGGTAGCTATAAATTCCCTAGGGAAGCCAGCTGTAGGTGGGTCAGTTAGTGCACTGAAGTGTGAAGTTAAACAAAACACTCAAAAGTGAAGTTAAATCAAGCCACTAGATGCTAGTCAACCCATTCACCCCTGGAGATTTTGCCGAAAAACGCGTTTTGAAGTTAGTCGAGTGGTTTTCTGGTCACTGTCATGCTATAAAGAGCTAAAACTTACCACTAACTGGTTTACAGGTCGAACACTTCGCGGCCTTCTGATCCAGATGCAAAATATCAGCTTGCGAAGTTCGAGCATGCGCAGAAAGCAAAATTTCGAGATAGTTTTTGGGTTTAAAAGTGACACAGCAGTCTTGACTTTTAAGTTTCGCTTTCTCTCCTCCCTTCTTTTTTCGCTTTTCTTGCCTCATTTTTTTTTTCTCTTGCTAGGCATTTAGTAGGCCTCATTTTGGTGGGAAGAGTTTTAAGGAAAGCTTTTAGGATCTTAGGATTAGGTGAAAGGAAAGGTAGGTGGGTAATGGAACAAGATTTTCATGGAGATTTTCAGGTCAATGTCACGTGGTTTTTTGCTTGTTTCTCCGGTGTCCTTGACTAAATTGTGCTCATTCTGGTATGGTTTGAAAGATCTCTTCACTCTGCACAAGTTAGCGAAGAAAGTTGTCCTTGATCGTTAAAACTGATGACGTCACAATGGGTAGAAAGGACCTGGATCCGCACGGGCGGTTATGGGCGGTTCAGGGGCGAATGGGTTAAGGTCGTTTGGCCAAAGCAATGATTTAATTTCTTCAGTTCTGTAACACAGCATGCAAGTACTTAGGAAAAATGAGATTGGAAATATTAAGTAAAAGTTAACTGTAAGTTACCTGTTGGTGCTGTTGAGTCTCTGCAGCAAGAGTTTTTCTTTTCTCTTCTTGCTCAACTCTTGTTTTGTCCAACTTCATGCCTTCAATATTTGCCTCAAACTCCTAAAATGACAGAGGCAAGGACACACATGTTTGATTTCAATGTAACCAGCATAATGAGGCCCTGTTAGGATGAAATCCTGACAAGCAACTTGGCCTTGAAATCCCAGTGGGGTACCCCTGGGAATTCTTGGTGGGGGGTGTGCCACCCTTTTCTCCAAATCCTGACCCTATTTCATACCAAAAAATGTCATTTTCCACACCCGTTTTCAGATCAGTCCTCTAAAATCCACACCCATTTAAAGGGGTGGTCTGCCATTCGTGGGCAAGGGTTGTTTGGGGAAGGAAATTGTTGTGAGACCAAAATAATATTGGTGCATGCATCTTCCTTGTTGTCTCACAGCCAAGTCTGATAAAACTAAATAAAAATGACACTTGCCTTAATTTTGCGCTGTTGTTCCAATTGTTTTGTTGTTTCCTGCATTCGAGCCATTTCCAGTGCCTCCTTAGAATGATCTTAGAGTTGAATATAGTAATAAAAAAATCTAATATTACGAAAATGTACATGCACGATCAGCTGTTTGTAGTTTAACTTCAATTTGTACATAGTGTAGTGTACCAAAATTTTTCTGTATTCTTAAAGTGTCAAAGTCAAATTTTTTTTATACACTTACGTGATTTTTCAAGCTCTCGTGCAGCTTTGGCCGCGCGTTCAAGCCCTGAAGGATCAAAGCTTCTCCACACAGGAGCAGTCTTGCCATCGCCTGTGTCATCTTTTCCTCCGCTATCCCCTCCACCTTGATCACCTCCTCCGGGCGATCCCGGGATTAATGGCGGTTCTTCCCCAGGTGGAGGGGGCTTGTTGACTCCAAATAACCAGGACATGGAAAAAATAATGACAGTCTAGCGAAAACAAGAAGAATTTTCGATAACTCTTCGATATTTCTGACGCAAGTTTTTCCACACGTGCAAGTTGGAGTTAAACCGGCGGCCTCGACCTCGCGCTAATGGAAAACTCCGCTGGGTTAGTTGATCGCGGCTCGGTTCAAAATGACGTCACTTCCAACTTCCTAACAGAGAGGAAAGGGAAGTTTGAAAGCAGTATTTCTTTGCTGTGGTCGCTCAAAGTGTTTGCTTACTGGGAATCGTCAAAATGTAAGAAAACCTTGTTATTTTTTATTCAGAATCGTACACTTAACCGTTTTGTGTTTACGAATTTGACTTGGTTCCCATGCTGAGGTCGTTTGTTAGTTCGCGCTCTGTTTTTTCCCTTGCTGCTGCACCCTTCGATACAAGCAAGCGACTTTCGAGTACTCAAAAAATGAAAACTGTATTTCTTTCCTTCTAGGTCGAACAAACGGTTACAACAGACGCAGGCTCAAGTAGATGAGGTGAAGTAGCCTCACATGTTGCATGTTTAGTTAAAAGAAACTGGTAAAACTGAAGCTTTTCGGACTAATCCTGTCACGTAAAGCAAGCTCAAATTTCTCTGTAAAATACAGCGGAAAACCGAGGCCATATTTACTCATAGGGCTTTTTTTTGGCCTGGACCTGATTACAGTGTAGTGATTACACTTCATTTAGATCTGTCTTGTTTTGTTACTGTTGTTTTTTGTAGGTGGTAGACATTATGAAAGTTAATGTCGACAAAGTGTTGGAAAGAGATGCAAAACTGTCAGAGCTTGATTCTCGCGCTGGTAAGAAATTTGATTTATTTTGATTATTTTTGTTTTTTTTCTCAAATTAATGTTTATTTACTAGATAATAAGGGAATAGACCATCAAAATTAAAGATTGATTCCAAAATCTGTAGCTGCAAGCCGCTGACATGTTAAACGCAACATCATACAAGTTAATTTTAGCATTGATCTCAGCTTCTTTGACCAAATGACGTTGGTTCACCAAGAATTTAATTTATAATCGCAGCAGCGTAAAAGCTACCATAATCTGATGGTGCTAATTTCTGGAAGTCAATGTGGTTAGTTATAAGTCCGTTTTAAATTAAGCTTGTAGTTATTATATCGCTGAAATACAAAACTGTACAACGTTTTGTTCATATTGGCTTCCTCAGTGACCTTATATTGTAAACATCTGAGAAAGTCAAGAAAGTCTTCTGTGAACAACTCATTTCCAAGCATAATTTTCCAATATTACCATTGTTGTCCAGAAGTGCAAATTGAAAATCAGAGCAACTTTTATTTTTTCCCATGACAAATTTACAATAATTTCCCCAAAATCCCCAAATAAAAATATTTATTTTTACTTTATTATGCCATTGTATTGTCATGCTAACAATACTCAAAGGCTGAATGGGCAAAAAGTGTCCTAATTCCTTAAATTCTAAAGTTGCTTTTTTTGAACATACACTTCATGTTAGTACTTGTTGGAGATGAGCACTAAAAACCACAAGCATTTACTTTAGCCATGCCCTTAAGTGTTTCTTTTTCCTCCCCCAATGGATCCAATTTTTTGAAAACAAGAAACAAGTGATAACAATTTCTTGTTTTATTATATCCTGGGGCACAAACTTACTACAACTTCTTTTGATAAATAAATAAAAATATTACTTTTTGTAGTTACAATTTTAGTATTATTATATATTTCAATAGCATTATTAATTTGTAAAGCTGGGTTTCATTTGAGAAAAAAGGGAAAGACATAGTCTTGTGGCATATTAGTAAAATTCTGATGTTAAAACATTCACATGGACTACCTTCAGTAATGTGATTCTGCAGCCAGAAATGACCCTTTTTATGCCAGATGAAACATTATCAGGCATCATCGTAGGTTTCTCTGATTTCTTTTTTTTTTTTGTTTTCTCTAAAAATCTTTCACTGACAACTTAGGGTGTGTTCCTTTCGATGAATCCAAAAACGGATTTTAGATCTAAAAACGGATTTCGCGTTCCTTTCGGCAAATCCAAATCCAGATTTTTGATCTGGTGAATCCTTTTTGAAAAAGGATTCATTGGATTTGAAATCCGAAGAATCCAAATCCAGATTAACGGATTAGTGATCTACGCTGTTCCATTCACAGTGGATCCGAAATTAGTCAGATGATCCAGCGGTATTTCCAGTTTAAGTATTCCCATAGAGGCCGCAGAGTTTCCTCGTTGCTGTCATTTGCCGCAAAATATCTGAAAACATTAGAAGATTGTTCCTGGTACATTAAAATATCCATATACTAACCATTTGTCTCTAAAGATTGCTTGAAATCAGAAATAAGTAAAAGTAACAAATGAACTGCTATCTAACTACAAACTCGCTTGTAGACGCGACAGGCATTCGATCGTGCTACATAAAAAAAATCCGAGCTATGGAACTGGATCAAACTGGCCGACATTCTTTAGATAATTTCCAATTTTAATGCGCTTTTTTCTTCGTCTGCTTTATATGTTCCATCGTCGCTATTCGAACTGCCGACCACTAAATTCTGCACGGTATAATCGCATAATTTGTCAAACAGTAGAAAACACGTCATTTTTTAAGAGGCTGTCGTGCATATTGCACGCGTTGGCGAAAGGTTACCAAGGTTACAGATCCAATTTCGGATTTCACGTTCCTTTCGACCGAGAAATCTGGCAAATCTGGGATCAAAAATCCGTTTTTGGATTCGCCGAAAGGAACACACCCTTAAACTACATTGTGTCATTCAGGGTTGTGTTCAAGGCAGTGTTGATAGACTGTAGGAATATAATATTACGTAAATTTTATAATAGTACACACAACTGTGTCTATTGTGTGTATTTAAAGATTCTGATATGTTGAAAATTGAAAATATGTACAAGTTAAAAATAAAGCTCTACAAAGTAATTTCTGGACGTTATTTAGCTCATCATAAACCAAGCTTTGGAACTCTAAAAATGAAAGTCTGATCGTCTGGAATTTATGAATCATTTCCCCTTTGTACTCTGTTTTCCTTTTTTCTATAAAAAGAAGCATGTCACATTTGAAAATTCCATTCCAATATAAAAGTAAGAGCCTTGGATTTCCACTCAAAATTCCATTTTTTATATTTAATTTTTTTTTCTCTCCTTTAACCCATTCGCTCCTGGAGATTTTGCCGAAAAACGCGTTTTGAAGCTAGTCGAGTGGTTTTCTGGTCACTGTCGTGCTATAAAGAGCTAAAACTTACCACAAACCGGTTTACAGGTCGTACACTTGGCGGCCTTCTGATCCAGATGCAAAATATCAGCTTGCGAAGTTCGGGCATGCGCAGAAAGCAAAATTTCGACATAGTTTTTGGGTTTAAAAGTGACACAGCAGTCTTGACTTTTACTTTTCGCTTTCTCTCCTCCCTTCTTTTTTCGCTTTTCTTGCCTCATTTTTTTTTCTCTTGCTGGGCATTTAGTAGGCTTCATTTTGGTGGGAAGAGTTTTTAGGAAAGCTTTTAGGATCTTAGGATTAGGTGAAAGGAAAGGTAGGTGGGTAATGGAACAAGATTTTCATGGAGATTTTCAGGTCCTTGTCACGTGGTTTTTTGCTTCTTTCTCCGGTGTCCTTGACTGAATTGTGCTCATTCTGGTATGGTTTGAAAGATCTCTTCACTCTGCACAAGTTAGCGAAGAAAGTTGTCCTTGACCGTTAAAACTGGTGACGTCACAAAGGGTAGAAAGGACCTGGATCCGCATGGGCGATTACGGGCGGTTCAGGGGCGAATGGGTTAATTAGCATTTCCCAGCCGATGAATGTCTCCTCTCTTTCCTTCCTATATGTTAACCTAACTCTTGAGACTTGGCTTTTTGCTCTTGCTTCTTAAAATAATAATTCAGCCCCTTTTTTGTTTTTAAATTCACTGATTGTTGTAAGCTGCTATTGATCTTTTGGGAAAAGAATGCCATTGAAGTCTGTTAAGCATTTTTTCTGCATAATCATCCAAATAGGCCTTTTGCATTAGTTGATTGCGTGATCAACTTTCGGTAAACGCGAAAACAGTTCGCTTTTGAAACATTTTGCTAGCACGAGCTGAAAGAGCATATTAAAATTAGCCAACCTGTACATTTTCAGCCGTATATCTCAAAAGTAGCGATTGTATGAGAAAAACAACTCTTGCCTCCTGGAGTTGTATGGAAAACCACTCAGGCATGACTGGGTGGCAAGCCTTTTTTTTTTTCATACAAATCCTTATAACTTTCGGTGGCCGTTGCAATTGCTACTTTTGAGATATACGGCTGAAAGTTTACAGGTTATGTACGGTCTTTCAGCTCATGCTAACAAAATGTTTCAAAAGCATACGGTTTTCATGTTTACGGAAAGTTGATCACGTGATCAACTAATGCAAAAGGCCTATTGTTTGGTGCGATTGGAAGGATCAAGATTATCCCAGCAATAGTACATGGTAATAATGTTTGGCTTGTCAACATTGTGTTAGTACTGTTTCCATGATATGATGAACTTAATCGCAAGAACCTACTTCTGAGGTGACCTGGGTGATCAAAGCAACCTGAGCTGTTATAATTTTATGAAAACCATGCTCTACTCCAATAATTTTGACCTACAACAATGATACTTACAATAAACAAATTTTTAGGGTGTTCCTTGGTATGAGAATAATTTATTATTGTACCCTGCTTGAGAGGGATTTCAAAGCAAAAGCACATATTGAATTCCCTGTGAATTGCCTCTCACTTTAGGGTACTGGCACCTTACTTTTCTTTTCTATGAAACTGTATTACAGTACCATCTATTGTTATTATTATCTTTATTAATGTTATTATCGTTATTATTTTTATTAATGTTATTATTATTATTATACTATAAAAGGTTTCAAAATAGCAGCCTGCACTTTGACTGCACGACGACTTTTCACCAAAGAAATAGAAAATGTCATGCTTTGATTGGCCAACTGAAATCAAACTCGCTGTAATGTTGTAATAAACATTTCATATCAGACAATAAACAGCCAAGAAACGTTTTAAAAACTTTTTGGAAACGTTTTAAAATGGGTAGAAAGAGTAGAAAAAGGTTTGGAAATTTAAAGTGTGCTACAAAAGTTGAAAAGGAGAATTCTTGTTCACCATAAACGACTAATTATTTTACGTGTTTGTTCAAGCATGAAACATGCAAGTTTGTCTAGACAAACTGTTGCATTACTGCCTTTTTGTTTCTGCACTTGTAATCAAGATTTATTTTGCACAAAAACTTGTTTAGTGCTGTTTGTGAAGCCTTTTCCCTTGTTCAAGTTAAAGTCAGTTTTGTATTCATATTGTTCGACAACACAGATTTCCCATGTTTGTTCTCCGCCCTGGTTTGTGAGTGAAGACGCACCACGGTTTGTCTTTATCTGATGGGGAATTGTTGCAATGAAATACATTAATCAAAATGAACATTCTGACCTTGACATTATTTTGGCAGTTCAAAGCATGTGTTTTGTGCCTTTTAAGGTTTCTGAAGGAAGAAAGTGAAATTTCAATTCAGAAAGATTTTGGTTACATGTCATACACGCAAATTTGCGGAAAGTGGAAACAAGTGATTCATTATTGACAACTGGGAAAAAGTAAGCCTTGACAAGAAAAAGCCTACAGATTAAACCTAAAAGCTGTCATTTTATTTTGAACCCTGTATAAGTTGATAATTCCTGATTCACCCTTTTGCTGCACTGTGGATGTTAAACAAAAGGAAACATAACACTCTTTTTTTTGTCATCAGATCAGCTGCAAGCTGGAGCCTCGCAATTTGAGCACAGTGCCGCAAGACTGAAACGCAAGATGTGGTGGCAGAATTGCAAGGTTTGTTCATTTCTGTATTGACTGCTTTACATTTTGATGAACCTGTGGCACAAGCCCCTCTTTTGTGTTTAATTTAAAGGCTAGTTTTCACTAGCGACGGAGTCAGAGTAGTAAGTGGAGTCGTTTTAATTTATTTCAAATATTGCTCACTGGAAGTCATGCCCTAAAAATTTTGTTTTATTACCCCCATTAAATGAAATAAAATAAGTAATCACATCAAATAAAGCTAACATGGTCTTTTTGAGTGTTCCAAAGTTGGTTCCTCAATTAATTTTCAAAGTCAATATCCTCGGCATCAGATCTTGAGTTTTGCTGGATCAGACTCCACTTCAACTTGACAGGGAGAGGATAAAAGAAAAAAAATCCAACATTTTCTAGTCACCCAAGAGCAACATTAAGGGGCCAGTGGCCACCAGGTATTGCTAGAGCACAGCCCTGATCATCGGATTTTTTGGGGAAGAAGGGGAATAGACTAAAAAAAGTTTTCTTTGAACGTTAAGGATTTCATGTTAAACTTCGTAACGTACTTGCTCTAAACAGCTTCTTAGCTGTATTTAAAAATATTGTATCTCCACGTGAAATCTCCAGGTGTGGTAAAATAACTAAAACTTCTTATGTGGCATGTTCTCTTGTTGATTTTTTTCCAAATGTTTTGATCCTTGGCACCTGTTAGTGGCTTTGTAGAAGGATATAATTTTCTTCTTTTTTTCTGTTCTTTTTATACAGATGTGGATCATTCTCATTGTGGTCATTGTTGTTATTATTGCTGCCATTGTCAGTAAGTGTACATGTAAATATATTGAATGAGGGTAGAGACTGACATAAGTGAATTACTGATACCCCTAATAATATGGCAGGTCAAGGAATTGGAAAAGGTGTTTGTTATAACAGGTGCTAGCCTGTGAATACAGGGATCTCTCCTCACTCCTTGATGAGAGGGATGTTTTCATGGGAAAGGTGTCTCCTCCTCAATGACAGAAATGCCATATTGATGACATAAAATCTGTCCAGAATCTGGTCAGGAGCTATCAGTGGTCAAAGTATTATTTCTATTCTTTTTGCTATTGTTCACGAATTACAGACAAAACACAAAAGGTCACAAAGGTCAAATGTAAATGTAAATGACAAATCTTTTGCAAATAATCAATAATTATTTCTGGAATATAAATTATATATATGGTTCTTCAGAGGAAGCGTTTGAGTTTTGCTGAGGCTCGTTTGCAGAAGAACACAAAACTTAATTGCAACCCTATGACTACCAGATTACAGCTGTTTTGAAAAAACACGCGACCTGCATTGTCAAAAACATTTCAGCATTTTGGGTTTTTCTGCAACGTCAATCAAACCATTTCTGTGGCAATGATCCACTGTGTTTGTCAAATAAAGGCGGCAATATAAACAAGTAGAAGCGGCAAATCTAAATGTAGGCAGAAACGTACCAGTTTGTTTTTATCCTCCCATATCTGTGTATATAATATGTAGCAACAATTTCACCTTGGGAATCTAAACTTGCCATGTTTCAGTATAAAGAAGTTAAAAAAAGTTAGAGCTAAGGTAAAACTTAGTGCGCTTTTCAAAAACATGTGACCGAACAGCGAAGTTCAAAAGCAACAAACCTTGGAACACAGAAACAAACAAAGCAGATCAAAATCCACCAATCACAATCAAAAGCCATGACCTTTTGTTTCCTTATGAGGTTCGCTAAGATGTGAAGACGAGAAAGTGCCGATTCTTCAGATTTTTATTGATGTCATAGAGAAACCCAAAATCCAACCACGTTTTGACTTCGCAGTACACTAATCTTGTTATCCGAAACAGCTGTAATTATGTAAAATTGAATAATGTCATCAGCATGGCATTTCTGTCGTTGAGGCATAACTGTCTCTCCTAAAAAATGTCTCAAGTGGTTACAAGTAAGGAGAGGCAGCTGTATTTACAGGCTAAACAGGCCCGGGGTGCAACATATTGGGGTCCTTTATCTGTCCATCTTACTATACTGTGACATTACACTAGCGTAGTCATTTAGTGCTTGGCTGTAGAGCGAGACGTCATGGATTCAAAATCCCTAGGGCCAGACCATCACTCACAGTTTGGGATTGCATTTGCTCTGCAAATGGCTAGACCTTTACGCGGCTTGGATGACCACATAAAATGCCCTGGCTCCACTAGGAGATGCAAATCAATTAGCTGGTCTGACACTCATTGACTCATTGACACTCATTGGGTTGCAGACTTTGGTTTTTTAAGCCAGGGCTGTATAATGACTTCCACCATTATGAATAAAAATAGGCGAGTTAGCCTTATGAAACAAGAAACGATTGGCATCATTTGACTTATTTGTGACTGGGGCATTTCCACAGTGCACCCTCTCTGCCCCCCAAAATATTGCATGACAGTATAATGTGATCTAATCGGAGGTTCTAAACATTATTGTCGTTCTACTCTTATAAATCGTGACAACCTTTGAAGTTTTAAGTACTGTTATATAACTGTAATACTCTGTTCCTTAAAAAGCACAAAGCATATTAAGTTTTATTTGTATTTCTGTTGGATATTGCATTTAAATCCCTTGTAACAATCCCTGGCCAGTGGACATGTTTCTAATTGACAGGGTGATCTACAAATAGCATATTCCTGTCTTGTAAGGAAAGACTTTTCACATGCATGGAGAGAACTGCAACAAGTTGAAGCTTTTCCTGTGGGGACCGTGAGAGGGCCACTTTTTTGTACAACTCCCACTCAGGCTAACTACAACGTCAAATACTGTATTTGGATAATCATTCGGCGTACAGTGTAGATATAGGGCCAATAGAGCGATTTTCGTATTACCTTGAAACATGGTTTTGTTAAGAGTTCGCTATTGTTTTATCAACCAATGGACAAAAAGATTAAAACATGGACTCTTCGTTTTCCCACCAAAGAAAACCCTAATATGGAGAAAGCATTGTTCGATTGGTCAAACGTTTTGCATTATGATGTCAGGGTGAAGTATTGATTGATTTCTAGAAAGTTCTCGGGCATGAATTTTTTTTCACCTGAGCATCTGCTTAACCAACCAAAAGTCACGCACGTTTGTATCATTTGATAAACCAATCAAATCGGTCTATTTCTGTTCGTTTGTTGTTTTGTTTTGTTTGCATGTTTTGATTTCAAGGTCATACGAAAATCGCTCTAATTCCACACAATACTAAACTGACTTCCAAATCTGTCCGTCAGAGGACCTGAAATGACCCGTCCCCTCCCTGCAAAAATCAGCCACATTGAAGCGGGAATGGGACATGCAAAGACTTCTGGCAGCTCTGTCTGCCATTTTGTCTTTTATTTTTTTTGACATAAATGCGACTCATTTCTTGATTGGATGTTGCCCTCACGGGCAGCCCAATAATAAAGTGCATTTATTATAACTAGAGCAAAGAACACCATTTTGCTATACACAGGCTTTGTTATACAGGCTGTAGGGGTTGCAGTGTTTCAGCACAGAAAGTGCAAAGTTGCACCATCCCATAATATCAGAACTTCTAACAATAAAGTGGTACATAATGAAAGAAATTTGTTGTTGTTTTTTTAAGCAAGGCATGTGGACAGGGCTTGGAAATTTTATGGTTACTGATGCAGTGCTTTTTTTCTAACAAATGTGTTTGCTTTTTCTTTTTCCTTAGTCTGGGTAGTGGCAAACCAGACTAGTGATTCCAAACCTGAGACTACTTCCGCTCCTGCAACAAAAAAACCTTAATAACATAACAAAGGTGCTCCAGTGTTCTAACAACGATTATAAATTTTGGCTTTTTACTGTAAAGCTATTCTTTTGTTGATGATTTGTTCTAGTTGAAAATGAATTTTTTTCTTGACGTAATTTCAAAGTAGCACGATTTTCATTCTTTGTTTCAGATTATGTTAGTAAAGTAGAGTAGAGGGTACTTTTTCATGATCTAGTGTGCCTAATACATTTTGTGAACAAGTAGCCTCTACTTGCTACATTTCTGGACCTAACTGTGTCTTCCATGGTAAATTAAAGAAAAATTAAGATAAGTGTATTCTAAAATCATGTTGACCAAAAATTCATTTCAAACTACAACATTTGTATATAATAATAATGATAGCTTTCTAGTTTGTTTATGTCAATCACTTTATACGCCTAATGTCCGAGCTGAATGTGTTCACACTTAACCACATTTAATTGACATTTCTTTGGGTTTTACACCGGTTTTACCACACAGAATTTTCAACATTTGAGTTCACTACTTACGCCTTGCGAGGCGTGTTTTGAGTACAAGGATTGGCTTGCAAAAAACGTCCTTCGTAGCAGGCCTGAGAAACCATTTTCAGCTGTTTTCTCCCTGAATTAGTCTTGGCAAATTGTCACCAAACTGGTATGAACGTGTGGCGAAGGTGTAGCGAACTCTTGTAGCTAATTCATCAAGTAGCATAAATGGTTGGTACCACCTTCTCTGATGTGATGACATTGTCACATATTGAAGGCAAAACATCTCTCTACCTCTAATAGACTGTCGCTTGTGGTGAGTCTTTGCGCTGTCCACTGAAAGTATTGACTTACATATAGTTGGAGATTTGGCCTTACGTGAACACTTTGTAGCCCTGCAAAGCAAGCCTCAGGTAAACAATATACTTTAGGCGCATGTCAAATTTTCGAACAAGCAATTTTTTCTATAAGGCTTAAAGACAACCTTGAGGCGGTGGTGTCTTGTGACTCTTGTCGAGACCAACTTATCAAAATGGGTCCTGTTTAAGGAGACTTGATTGTAGAAGTTTATCGAGTTTTGTTAAAACAATGTTATCATACTAGCAGTCATGCAGGAGTGTTTGTATTTGTCCTATTTTTTAACACCTAAACTTAAACGTCAGTTTATTTTCAACATCGAAATTTGTATAATTGAGAGAATTATATAGCCTGCGTAGCAGGCGCTCGGAAGTGGTGGGCACAAGAAAAAACGGGCGCCCGCCCGTTCTCTCTTTCACCCACTACTTCCAAGTGCCTGCAACACAGGCTAGAATTAAAGTACTATAAGCGAAAAAATGCCTTCTTAAACTCAGTCATGAAGGGTGGATTTGACATTTTCAGCTTGGATTAAAAGCATCTCTGAAAATAGTTTAGAGAAAATTGCTCTTTATACTTAAAAGAAAATACGAGACTTTATAGAGTTCTTTTCTGTGACTAAAGAAGAAGTTAGGAAAGAAAGGGGAACCTGAAACAGTTTTAAAGATTATCGAGGGTTTGCATTAAGGGTGTTTTATTTCTCCTCGTAGCTATATTGATATGAGGAAGTTAGACTTATAAATTTTCGCGTAGATGGATTATTCTTTTTCAGGGCTAGAAATTAGCTTTTTTAGTCCACTCGCAAACCTTTGTTAGATTTTCACTGGCGAAAGTAACTTCAGATTGCTGTAATGTTTTCCTCGAGAGCCGTGGCCACTTGAAAAAGGCGTGTCTTTGACAGTTAAAACAAAAAGCCCAAGCGTGCCACAAAACATAAGTCATCCTCTGTGCTTACCCAGTACAACGGGAACGTACAGCTTAACTGCGTAACTACCAAAAACAGATTCGCGGGTTTCTGAGTTTTAATTTCTAGCCCTGTTTTTTAAGGAATTTATTTAGACACGTTGTTGAAAGTGATCCATCAGGCAAGTAAATAAGTGTACATCAACGTAAACACGCAAATCAAGGTCATGGGACAAAGGTTTTTCCTTACACCATGACAGTAAGATTATTGTTCTATCTACTGTGTAGTAACAGTGGAAGCTGTCCTAACGGACGCTGTTGTAAGCGGACAGCTCTACTTACGGCCACT